AAATGAAAAAGGAGAACCTAATCCTTAAAAAGACAGAAAGCCGTATAAAGGACACTTCTCTATTTCCGTATGCAGAGATTTGTTATCGTCTAACTTTCACTTTCAATGTGAGAATCAAACGATAAAATCTTTAAAATATCTTAATTCCTCCAACTCCAAATATTATCTATTGTCTTACAATATTCCAGAACCATCCTCGTTTTCTTATATAAATGTCACAATGAAGTCTCCATTTTCCTCACACCAAAACCATTCGACTACACATTTTCTTTCGACTCGTATTCTCAGTCACTCGTTTAGTCTGTCGTCATTTTTGCTGCATTTTCTAGCAATGGAGAGAGTGAACAAAATGGTGGCAGAAAAACCAGTGGTGATCTTCAGCAAGAGTTCATGCTGCATGAGCCATACGATCAAATCCCTCTTTTGTGATTTTGGTGTTAATCCTGTAGTGTATGAACTCGATGAAATTCCAAGAGGTGGAGAGATTGAGCAGGCTCTGTTAAGACTCGGTTGCAACCCCTCTGTCCCAGCGGTGTTCATTGACGGTGAATTTGTGGGTGGAGCCAATGAGATTATGAGTCTCCACCTCCGACGATCCTTAAAGCCAATGCTTAAAAGTGCTGGTGCCTTATGGGTTTAAAACCCTACTTTTTATATCTAACACTATGAGTAATTCATTTTTACTGCATTAATAATGTAATCCATACTTATATAGAGAGAGTGCCTGTGTGTGCTGCAGTTTTGCTAACAATACTACTGCTAAATAATATGTTCCTTCAGCTTTTTTAGTGAAGCTGATTATGTTTTTGACTAATAAAATAAACGAGTTTTGAATAATTAACAATTGCTGATCTTATGTTCTTTTTATTGTTTCACTCTATCTTATTGTGAAGTGCCTAATTTTATGTCATCAAACCAGTCTGAAATTATTGCTATTATGATACTTGTAAAGTATGATTTTTATGTTAAATCATACACCTAATTTCCCAAATTTGGTAACGTTATGATTATTAGGTAGAAATTAAATCAATTAGAAAGCATATCTTGATTGTTAATAAGGATTTGAGCTCCTCCTTCAATCAGTTGACATGTTAAGATAAATTCTAAGTCTTAACATGGTATCAGAGCTCATTAATCTCAAACGAGCTATTCGATCCAATTAAAGATAAAAAAAAATGAACACAAGGAGATTGATGTACTCAAACGAGCCATCATCTTGCGGAACATGTTAATGGATAAAATTTCTCATAAAATAAATATAAAAATACTGACCAATTTATCAGGGTTAATTTGAGTTATTCTTCTTAAGGTTGACCTTTTAAAATGGAACTCCAAATCTTAACATTGACCCATAACAAGTTATTAAGAAGATCCATCTTTTGAAATTGTCGATGAAGAAACTGTATTTCTCTCTCACGACGTCTTGAATTTGAACTAATTAAGTTGGAGGATGGAAATACATTCCCATTCATAGGCGGAGAGAGGTAATTTATAATCTTTAAAACTACTGATTTTCCATCAAACTGTGTAGTTAAGAAATTTCCCCCTTCTCAAATTGACCATTTGAATTTTATCATATGATATTTTTGAGGTTTAAAGCCATGATATTCTAAATATTAAATCCCATTGAGAATATTATATTTGGATAATAATGAAGGTCTTGCATTCTCCTACAGTATCAAATACATAGACATCATAAAATTCATCATAGACATCATAAAATTCAGGGGCAGATCGAAGATTAATCAATTGAGAGCTTGCAATATTTTTTGTTAAGTGGACTTCGAGAGTACAAGGAAAACGAAAAAGATTCAAAATTAAGTTTATATCAAGGCATGAGGAACGATTCAAAAATTTAACAAGTGGGTTTTATACAAGCTAGGGTTGACACCTAATTACACAGGTTACCTTTCTTCTTAACATAGAAAGGGACACCGTACGGCAGTAGTCTGCTCCGCTAGACTACCTTCCACATTTTCTCGATCGTTTCGAGACGAAAGTAAATTTGATCACAATTTAAAGAAAGCTTACAACATGAAATTGAAATGCATTGAAATAAACTTGATCATTGATTGCTTGAAAGTTGAACATTACAATAGACGAAAGCAGGAAATTACAATGGCTAGTGCAGGGGGAGAACACTAGAAATGTTGAAAGATGTTTGAAAGACTAATACACCTATAATAGACTTAGCAACAAAAACCCGAATGACGGGAGTA